GTGGCGACGGAGGTCGTATAACTGGTATCACGATCCACCGGGAGAATCAAGTTCGCGTACCGCAGCCGTATCCAGTGGAGAAAAGCGTACCCGTACCGTACGCGGTTCCGGTTAAGATTCCCGTGGAGCGGCCAGTCCCGGTGCACATACCGAAACCTTATCCAGTCCCAGTAGAAAAACCAGTACCAGTGCCAGTGGAGAAACCGGTCCCAGCGCCGTACACCGTGCCCGTCAAAGTGCCCGTCAAGGTGCCTGTCCCGTACAGCGTGCCCGTAAAGGTTCCATTCCCGGTCGAAAAGGAGATTCCTTATCCAGTCAAGGTTCCTGTCGTCGTTAAGGAATCGTACCCTGTTCTGGTTAGCAGTGGTCACGGCGGAGGCGGCGGTGGCGGCGGCTTTGGAGGTGGATTTGGAGGACACGGCTTTGGAGGACACGAATTGTCCTTCGGTTTACATCATTAGAGATAAGGATGAAGCTCATCGCTGCTGATTTTCATCAACACTCGTATATTTGTATATAACGATTATATTTTTTTATGGAAAATAAATATTAAATTATTAAACGTTGTTTCTACTTGTCACACTGGCTAGCTACGGCGATTACCTTTAAATCTCTCGAGCATCGAGCGAGTAGATTGTATTCCGAAGGTCGTCGAACTGTGCTCGATAAGTTGGATCAGGTAAATCGGAAAAACTTCCGGAACGTGTGTCTTTGCGTAGGTGTTTCTCTGTTTGCTTTGTGCTCCAATTCGATAAAGACTTTTAAATATTATTTCCCTGCGTCTCTCGTTGCCGGAGGAGGCATCGAGCAATATTCGTTTGTTATTTTCATATTAATGCGCGTTTACGTGGAAAATCGAGATGGTATGCGCATTATGAATTAAATTATAATTTTTACCTCCCCTGGGTCGTTTGTATTCGTTAAGTATCGTCGCTTCATAGCACAGAATGATTGAAATTTTATTCGAATTCCGCTCTATTTCCGTTTGATCTCCCGTACACTTTATGACAACGAGCGTTTAGCCCGTTGGGCATTTAATTAATTCTTGACTTGTCCTACGACGAGCGTTCGCTGTCAATTTTGGAAAAGCGGCACTGCGATCTCACAATTAATTTGCCGTGTGTTATTACGATTCTCTGAAACAGATTCATTTCAACAGATATTTTATATCGTCCACTGTATATTGTTTGCATTTAATCCAAGCAAAATTTTTCAAATTTAAGTCACGTACAGATAGATCATTAATTAACGAAACTAATCAAATGTATTACGTTGCAGGGAACGAACGTTGTTTACGCTCCGCTGGTTATTATAGAATCGTCCACTACTAATTGATGCCAGGTACGTGAAGACTGTTTTATCAATCACGAACATATTACGATTATCATTAAAGTTATTCTGTAAAAAGAAAAAAAGAAAATGCAACAATGTCAACGTCGATTTAATCGAACGCGATAGAAAAATATCACGTGGAAAACGTTTCGTCGCGTCGAGAGATCGAGTTCCTTTCGGCGTCTGCGTATTCCCGTCCGGCCAATGCTGCTCTTATTTCCCACCTACGTCTGAAGCGTCGTATTTTAAGACGAGATAAAGGAAAAGTTCGAGGGACGTTTTTGCCGCAGACGAAACACGCAATCGCGTCGCGACGTCTCGTCATTTTTGCGACGTCGTCGCCGCCACGAACATCCGGTGCTTTAAACAGCGCGATTTGCTCTCACGGTTCGTTAGAGTTCGTGCTCTCTCTCTCTCTCTCTCTCTCTCTCTCTCTGTCGCGTGAAATACCGATTTGTCGATTCATGGATAACCAGACGACGCCGTCTTATCTGAACAGAGAAATTGTGGTCCGACGTGAGCGAGGCACCAAATCGCGTGGCTTGTGCGCAACGGAAGTAAGGTAAAGGTCAGACAATTTTTCTTCTGCATCCGTGTCCCTACGTACTGTTCTACAGACGGAGACTTAACGATGTTTACAAGTATTTTCATTTCTAACGTTTGCCGAGCAATCTATACAAATATGCACGTCGCGTGTCGTTCTTCTTCTCCTGCCTTTTCTCCCAGCTTCTTTCTCGTACGTACGTCAATATTCATGGAAACAATTTCCCAAACGTACAAATACACCAAGACAGTTGCTGCCGGTGCAAAAACATCGTTGTTGTTTTGTAATTGTGCGTTGTCCGCGTCGAACGTTTCGCAAGGTGAAAGTCCCATTTATATGGATCGATCCGTCGTGCAAACGTTTCTACAAACCGGGTCGCTCGGACGCGGCATTAACATCGGATTTCATTATTTCTTCTTCCTCATCTCCGCCAGGCTGATTTGCCTGCGTGCGTAACGGTTTAATAGGAATTTATTCGAGTTAGCGGAGGAAGGCTGATCGTCGGTGTTTCGCGCCTAATTACGATCGTTTCGAGCGGAGAGAAATCGTAAGGTCTCTCTTTCTGTCGCCGATCCGATCCGTTCCGTCGGAGCTTGTGCAACCAGCCGACAATTTTCCTCGCCGCCGCGTACGGCACAAAATAAACGTAGAAGCGGATGCTGTAATCTCACTTCGGCAAAAGCTATACAATATTGCTGGCCGAGATGTGTTTCGCGTCCGAGTACGCACCGCCTCGTGCCCCGTTTCGTCTAATCCCATAAAACTCGAAATCCTTTTGATCTCGCAATGACGTTTCGTTACAAGAGCCATTTTAATGCGACTCTCGCGAAACGAGATTAGACCTTATCTCGTAGACGATCTTCAACTTACGTTTGAAAATACACCACGACTCTCGTGCTTTGTTCTTTACGAATGATTAAATAACAACACACAGAGCGTTAAAGCAATTCCGCAGTTCTGTTTTCATACTCGTCTTACTTCACGTTGTCTGTTTTTTTTAAAATGCTTTCAGACAGCAGATTCTTACTTGAGGTGTTAATAAAGAACAAAGCAATTGAATGACACGCAAATTAACGCAAAAACACCGAGATTTAATTACCACGCAATGGTGATTTTATGTGA